GGTCTTAGCATTTCAGGTGCAACTTAATAAAGAGACCAGCTCTCATGGTGGACAGCTTTAGGCCCTGGGTCACAGAGCTGGTCACCCGCTCTGGGAAGTCAGTTACTGCTGCTGTCTGTGCCTGGGAACAGAACGGGCAAATCAAATAATCCCCTGAAATCCGAGCTGGAGCTCCCATTTATGAGCCTATTCCTAAGGAGGGGGAACCTGCAGGAACAAAAGCAATGAAGCCACAAACCCACCACTCCCCCCCGGTTCTCACCGTTCTTCAACATGAGGGTCATATTTAATACGGTGTCATGGTATCGTCTAAGAGGCAAGTTAAGAAGCTGCTACCTCTGATGCTTGCCCTTGTGGTGTGGCTTCAGGAAGCAAAAGAACGAGCAAGCAAAAAGCTTGACGTGCAAACCTTGCTTTACTCCCACCCCCTCCTCCGTGATACAAGCTTTTCCCATTGTTTCTAATAACACTAGTCCTGACTGAGAGGCTGACTGGCTTTCTCATTTACCTGGAGGTGGGGGACAGGTCACTCCAGGTAAAGGATGCCCACCCCGCTTCTGACGTTCAACCGTTCTCAGGGACAGTCTTGCCCCAAGGACCTCCATCTCCCTAGTGTGTACACGGGCATGCTGAGATCACACCTCAAGCCTAAGGCCAGAGCCAGTCACCCCCCAAGAGCTTCGGAGGCCTGGGATCCCAGCACTTACCAAGTCAGTCAGCTCCAAGAGCTGCTGACCCCCCTCCCCACAGCGTCCCACACTTACCAAGGAGTTCACTGGTCTTCTCATCATATTCTTCCGCCATTTCCTTCCCGTCTGGGAACAAATAGTGCACCATCCTCTTCCCTACACAGAGAGGAGAGCACCTTACCTCATGCCTTCCTTTGTTTTACCCCTGCAGACAGAGATGTCCGCCCGCCATCCCCCATACACTGCGAAACAGCAACAGCGGCAAGGAACATCGTGGCCACCACAGCTTATGTGTGCCCCAGGCTCCCTTCCTTTTTCTGAACTGTCTGTTGCTTCTGCCACCAACAAAGCCATGCTTCTTCCCAACTGTGGAACTCTGCTCACTCTTCAAAACCCAATTCAAATGTCACTTCCCCTGGGAAGTCTCAGTCACCTATTCCTTGCAGCTACCACAGCAGAGCAAGCGCTTTTTCCTCTGTGCCCTCAGGGTTGGGGTCAAGCTCACAGCAGAGCATCTTCCCACCAGGACAGTGTTTCAAGCATCTGAGACAAACGTCTTTCTCTCTGTACTACTACAACCAGGGCTCCACGCTCTGATGTGAGCTGGGTCCCCTGACAGACACCTTCCCCCAGCCACTGTCACTCAGCCATGGTCTACACTTCTTTAGGCCATTCCCCGGCATAGAGCCCAGATACCATCATCGTGCATTTTCTTCCCCACACATGCTTGGTTTATGATTTTTATGTCTCTTGTGTGAGTCTTTGGTTATTGCTTGTCTCTTCTATTGGATGGGGGTGGGTGGTGTCCATGGTTTCCCGAGATCAGCCACTGGACCTGGTTATAACAGGAACTCAGATGCTCACCGCAAGAATGAAAACACATTAATGTACCATCCACTAAAAGATAAGGGAACTCGAGGGACTCTCCGAGCCCACAAGCACTTGCTCAAGGGCAGAGCTGCGTAATTTTTTCTCTTTCTTACAGGCAGGTAAATAGATACAGGTAGCCTCCTCGGGAAAACTGACAAAGGGTCTTTATAGCCAGTGGACATGTAACCTCCATCAACTTCAAGAACGAGAGCCCTAAGGTGGCTTTTTCCCGTGTAACTCACTTTTCTACGATAGTTCCCCTGAGTCATTGCTAACTGGTATTTCAGGCAACTTATCCCAAATTTGCAAGACCTTTTGGCAGGCCCCAGGTTTCAGTACCCTTAATAATCTGGTTCACAGATAAGAGTGCTCTGCAGGCATGAGGAACTGAGTTCGAATCCTCAGCACACTACAGAAATAGCTAAGTGTGGCAGTACATGCCTGTAACCCCCGCATCAGAGGGCAGAGACAGGCAGGTCCCCAAAGCCAAAACTGAGCTGCTGCTTCAGTGAGAGGCTGTCCCAGGCAGACAGCAACAGAAGACTAAAGCAAAAGCCTGGCCCTCACATACATGATGCCTGCTAAGACCTCTGTGTATGCATGGGTGTGTGCTCCTTCACTCCCAGGAAAGCATCACACACAGATACACCATACCCCCAATACTGCCTTATGACCAAGAGCAACAAAAGCAGACTTCATATGCACTTGCATATTCACTTTCAAAGCAGTATTATTCACAACAACCGAAAGGCAGGAGCTACCCAAGTACCCATTCGTAGATGAACACAGATCGGAGAGTATACACACACTGAAACAGCTTGAAAACAGAAGGAAGATGCTGGAGGAGAATGCAGTCAGCTTGCCATTCAAGTCTGAGGACCCCACTGATCCAAGGATTCATATACAAAGTCTAAGGCAGTGACATGTGCATACAATCCCACGACTGGGGAGAAGAGGAGCCTGCAGCTCACTCACTGAACAGCCAGCCAAGCCTCTTCAGTAAACCCTAGGTCCCTGTGAGTAAGAGATGCTTTCTCAAAACAAGGTGAAGCCCAGCAAGACCTGGTCAAAGAGGTTGTCACTAAGCCCAGTAACCTGACTGATCCCAGAACTCACATGGTGGAGGGAAAGAACTAATTCCCACAAGTTGTCCTCTGATCTCCACGTATATGCTACAGCAGGTGTGAGCCTACACACGCACACACACACACACACAAATTGATGTTAAGAAAGTAAAAACCATCACGGGCAATTGTGAGGAAAGGCACCCCAGGCTGACCTCTGGCCTCCACATAAGCTCACAAAAAATTTAAAAAGAAAATTTTGACACATTTATGACATCAAGGAACTCTGAAAACCCTTTACTTGTGAAATAATTAAATATTATTTGATTCCATTTACATGAAGCTCTTAGATTAATCAATTTAACTGAAAAACAAAGTAGCCAGGGGCTGGGGAAGAGGGGTGTGAGTTGTGTTTTCTGGGTGCAAAGTATTGGTTTTGAGAAACTTTTGGAGCTGGATGTTGGAGACAGGTGAAAACAGTGAGACTGTCCTTAGTGACCCCTAAGTGCACACCTAAAATGGTTAAGACAGTACATTTTATGCTGTGTGTGTGTGTGTGTGTATTTTTTTACCACAATAAAAATGCAAAATAAAAATGTCACGCATGATGGTACATGGCTTTTATCCTAACACTAGGGAGGCAGAGGCTGGAGGACCTTCAAGACCAGCCTGGTCTTCAGAGTACATGTTAAACCAGCCAGGACTACATACTAAGACCCTGTCTCAAAATAAAACACCACTATCTTGTAAAGTGTGTCCCAAAGCTGCATACCGTGAGACTGCAACACGTCCCAGTCAGTCTGGGACAGTCTCTATTTTCTTCTATTTCCTCTTACAGCCTATTTCCCCTGTATTTGGCCCCGGACGCCGTGCAGGCAGTACCTGAATGGTGCCTGCTTAACACCGTGCCATGCACACTCACACTTACACACTCTCACACTTCTTTTGCCTCTACGTGTGATTCATTCCTCTACACATGGTCACTCCTTCATCTCCACCTACCAAACAACTATTAAAAATTCCTTAGGGGCTAGAAATATCACCTCCTGGGTTTGGTAATTAACCAAAGAGAAAATTATTTTCACCTCCATACTTTCTTAGCATTTCACAAACTATCTCAATTCTTCCCTCCTTTCTGTCTGTCTTCCTTTTAAACTAGTCTCCTGCCTTAACCTCCTGAGTGCAAAGATGGCAGCCACAGGCTATCTTTGCCTTTCTGATGTTCCAACCTTTATTTAACACAAGCTGCTAGTTACTTATATATTTTTTCTTGATCATTTTATGATTGAGACCACAAACCATGGTTGGTTTTTTGTTTGTTTGTTTTTCTATCTGCTCTAGCACAGAATTTGGCACGCGGTAATGGGCTCCCTTCCTTAATTGTGTAGGTAGGAGCAAATGAAACCTGATTTTAATTTCCATAAACTTCAGGCATCTGTCTGTGGATGTTAAGTCCCTAGCTGTTAGCTTTAAAGCCTCAGGAATTCAGACCTAAGTCACCCTGGCTGCCAAGTGAGTCCATGAAAGACTTCTGGGGTGCAGGGGACTTAAATTGGCCAGTTGCAGGATGAGAAAAGCTGACATCTCAGACTTTTGTTCCTAGTTATCTAGTCCTTAATCTTTGTTCTATCTCCCCTAAAGATCCGAGAACAATTTGAAATTCATATCATAAACAAAACACAGTTGGAAAGGACCTTAGAAACAACAGTAGCAGCCCACCCACTTCATTTTATAATTGAAGAAAAACGGGGTCCTAACAATTTAAGAGGCCATGGTGAATCGATGGTAAAGTTGATCTAAAACCCTGGTGTCTCTCCTTTCTATGCCACTGAGCTGCCATCATCAACAGGACCCCCAAACTGAGGTGCATGGGGTCCCAGGTCGTGAATTATACCCGATTATCTCCAAAACCTGGGTTTGGTCTAAAACGTTCCTGGATTTCAGTTTCCTCGTCAGTAAAATGGGGTGGAGAATTAGCCTCTTGGTACAGCCCTGAAAAACGATGACGAATGCAAAGTGAATTATTGGGAAATATCAACAAAACCCTGAACGGGGCGGGATGGTATAAGGAACTCTTGAGGTGGGTGACCAAAGACTTGAGCTCCACTCGGGTCATCTCCCTGGGCCTGTTTCCTCCGCAAAAGCAGGAAGCTGGCATGGCTGCTGCGACAGTTCCAGCTCTGCCCACCCAGGCTGAGGCCCTCTCTGGGGGAGCGGGCGCATAGAGCCCGTCCTGGTGGGTGTTGGGGGGAGAACGAGGGGGCTCGAGTTACCATCCTGAAGCAGCGCCGTCTTCTCGGCTGACCGCAAAAGCTCCAGCCAGCTAGTCACCGCCATCTTCCCTCCACCCAGCAACACGCCTGGCCACTGCCATGGCAACTACGCGACCCATGATCACTTCCGGATGACCCGGGAAGTATTCCGGGAACTGACTTTTTTTTTTCTTCCAGTTCCCCCTCCCCCCAGTCCGTTTTCATTGGCTCCCATGGTGAGTTTATTTCTCTTTGCCGGGAGATTCTGGCCTACTTTGGACCGATCCTGGGGCCGGGTGGCGTGGGGATGCTCCGACAGCTTCTAGGGTCCCAGCACCAGCTTTCTGTCCCAGCTGCGAGTCCCTGGTTCACGCCAGCTGCTCATGCTGTGGATGTGGCACATCTGCCTCGGTCTTGCCCACCTCCAGCTGTGAGGGCACCCTATACCAGCTGCGGCTGCACGCCACCTCCCAGCAGCTGCGGGGCTCAGACCCGCGCGCTGAGGCTGCGACAGGGGCAGGTGCACAGCGTGCCCACAACTTTCCCAGAAGCCTCACTCCCCAGGTTTTCTTCTGCGTATGCACATTGAGGCTAGAGAAAGATGATGTGAGGTTTATGTGACATGTCACTAGGGAGATGAAGACGCTCCTAAAGATGTAGTCCAGTTTCCTAACCCGTTATCATTTTGGAAAAGCCTCTTGGAAGTGGAAACTGAGGCCCACTCTGTGCTGTATTCCCCTCCCCCCCAATGTTGTTTCCTTTCGGTCAACACCTCCCCTACAGGTTGAAAGGCTGGTGTGTGTGGCACTCGGGTTAAATCACTTAAGTTTAACTGGAGTTTCCGAGACCTCTGAGAAAGGGGTCTGTTACCCCCAAACCCCATCTTTATGCCAAATCATCAAGGGGTGGCTCTCAATCCTGGATTTCTGTATGACATCTATCCTTAAACAGAAAGGTCAGGATCCAGCCCACTTCAATGGACCCCCAGGGCATCTTGAAGGCATTTCCCAAGCGAAAGAAAATTCATGCAGATCCATCATCAAAACCACTTGCAAAGATTCCCAAAAGGGAGGCGGGAGCATCGAGAGGTGAGCCAGTCCACCCTCAGAACTCATGTACTGGAATCTCAGCCTTCTGTTTTCAGTCAGAATCCGAGAGCAGAAGTGGCCTTACCTGTGTAGGAGCCACGGTCTCTTTGTACCTACCTTGTATTAGCTTTGGTTTCTGTCCTTCTCTCTTGTTCAGAGTCTCACTGTAACCTTGACCTTGCCTTATAGCTGAGATGACCTTAAGCCCCCCATCCACCTGTCTCGACCTCCCAAGTGATAGGCTTACAGGTGTGCGGCACCGTGTCCAGCTGGCCCTTTGTCTTTTGATTTTTGTTTTTGTTTTTTCGAGACAGGGTTTCTCTCCTCTGTAATACTGGCTGTCCTGGAACTTGCTCTGTAGACCAGGCTGGCTTCAAACTCAAAAAGCAAAAAAAAAAAAATAAAAAGGAAGTTTGCTGTATGCCTGTGGTAGAATTCCATGAGGCATTGTGTTCTCTGGATGGCAGGAAAAGGAAGGGAGGTGACTTCAAAGTGTTCATTATATCTAAAACTTCCACAGCTCACTGACATACAGCCTGTAATCCCAGCACTTGGAGGCAGAGGCAGAAGAATCAAAAGTTCAAGGTTATTCTCTGCTACATAGTGAGATTGAGACCAGCCTGGGCTACATGAGACCCCGTCTCAAATAATAGCGCAATATAATAATAATGATGATGATGAAAATAATAATAATAATAATGGTATTACTATAATTATTTGAATACCCTCTCTACAGGCTGGCTGAGCGCCCTAAGGGCACACATTATGCCCACTGGCATTGGACGAGCCCGGGCTGAACTCTTTGAGAAGCAGATTATCCAGCATGGTGGCCAGGTGTGCTCTGCCCAGGCCCCAGGAGTCACTCACATTGTGGTGGATGAAGGCATGGACTATGAACGGGCTCTCCGGCTCCTCAGGCTGCCCCAGCTACCCCCTGGTGCTCAGCTGGTGAAGTCAGCCTGGCTCAGCCTGTGCCTACAGGAGGGAACACTGACAGACACGGAGGGATTCAGCCTTTCCATCCCCAACAGGTAGGCCACTCTTAGCCTTTCTCAGGTGTTGGTTGATAACATTTGAGTTTCCATCTTGAGTTATTAAAAAAAAAAAATCCCTACTTTTTAAATTGGACATACTTGGAAATCAAGGTTTCAGTGTAGAGAAAGATTGGGGACAGAGACAGGTGAAACTTTTAATATCCTAACTGCCTGTGACCTCCCCCTATCCTCTAGGTCCTTGGACGAACCAGAGCCCAGGCTATCAGACCAAGATGCTCCTGCTCCTGGCACCCAAGGGGTTCTACCCAGGACAACCCTCTCTCTTTCCCCTCCTCACACCAGAGCTATATCTCCTCCCCCAAAGGCAGAAAAGCCACCAAGAACCCAAGCCCAGGTGAGGAGCCTCCCAGCTCAGGGTGCTGATCACAGAAGTGGAAGGGCCTGGAGGTTATACAGAAAATTCTAGATCTCTCTTGATTACATACCTGTCCATCTCTTCCCAACATCTATCAGTCCTGCATTCACCAAGTCATGTCTGCTATACACCACTGGGAAGCCCAGGGCTGGGCTCTAGAGGAAGCCCCGTGGAGCTTTTTCCTCGAGGCAAAGCAGGAGATGCCTACCCACCAGACAACCCTGTCTTCTGAGGAAGGCACAGATTTATTGCCGTCTTCTATTTGCAGCTCAGCTCAGAGGATGAAGCCAGCGATGGGGAAGAGCCCCAGGTTAGCTCAGCAGATCTGCAAGCTTTGATCAGTGGGCACTACCCCACTTCCCCTGGGGAAGATAGTGGGCCTGACCCAGCCCCAGAAGCTCTGGATAAGTGGGTTTGTGCACAGCCCTCGAGCCAGAAGGCAACCAACTACAACCTGCACATCACAGAGAAGCTCCAAGTGCTGGCTAAAGCCTATGCCGTCCAGGGAGACAAGTGGAGGGCCCTGGGCTATGCCAAGGCCATCAATGCCCTCAAGAGCTTCCACAAGCCCGTCAGCTCCTACCAGGTATGTGGCAGGTGGGGAAGAGGTTGCCTCTTTACTCAGTACTGGTTAATGGCAGCATTAGTCATTAACTAGTGGTTAACTGTAGTCACCAATGGGCATCAGATTTAGTGGTTAGGATTTTATAATGGCTGGGATTTACACATTGAGATAACTGATAAAAGAAAAGGGGGGATGGGGAGGACAGGCCAGCAAGATCGTTAGGATTAGAAAATGAGTGCTTAGGGGTTTATTACACTGTTTCCTCGATGTCCGAGGATTTTTATATGATAAGTTTAAAGCCAGGCCTGGTGGTACACATGTTAGACTCTGGAGCCCGTTGATTGTGGACTCTAGACAGTTACTCTGTCAGTTTTCCAGTCACTTGAAAGGAATTAACAACTGTAGGCCATTCACAGTGATTTTGTAAGGTTGGAAGATGGTCCCAGTAGCACAGAATGACATACAGTAAACCCTCAGGCAGTGTGGTTCAGTGAGCCCCCAGTCAGGTAGTGTGGTGCAGTGAGCCCCCAGCAGGCAGTGTGGTGCAGTGAGCCCCCAGCAGGCAGTGCAGTGTGGTGCAGTGAGCCCTCAGGCAGTGCTGTGCTGGCGGTGGTGATGAGGAGGAGCACTGTGGTTTTCTCTACCTCTTTTTGTGGTTATTTTGTTTTATATTTTTCTTTTGGAGACAGTCTCTCTTTCTACATAGCCCTGACTGGTCTGGAACTCACAGATTGCTGTCTGTGCTTCTGCCTCTGCCTCCAGGAGTTGTGGGATTTACGGCATGCCTGGCCATTTTCTCTACTTCTTATTGCTGGTCTCTGGGAACCAAAGGACAAGTTCCATATGGTTGCTGGGCTGGCTTTTGGGCGGATATTCTGCTGAAGGGCCAGACTCCCCTCTCCTGGCTCTCCCTTCCTGGCCTCTTCCTCATCCTCCTCTGTGCCGCTTTCTCCGTAGGAGGCCTGTAGCATCCCAGGGATTGGCAAGCGGATGGCAGAGAAGGTCATGGAGATCCTGGAGAGCGGGCATCTGCGGAAGCTAGACCACATCAGTGACAGCGTGCCTGTCTTGGAGCTCTTCTCCAACATCTGGGGAGCTGGGACGAAGACTGCCCAGATGTGGTACCATCAGGTCATACCCAGCCCATCTGCCACTTGAGTATTGCTGTCACAGAGCCTCTGCGCACACCCCTTCCTGTTTCCCTCAGGAACCTGGGTCCCTGTTTTCCCACCCTGGGTCATCATAGGAGTGAAATCCAACTACAAGGACATCAGAGTTCACATTGGTCCCCCTCCTGTCCCCAGAACAGCCACATGACTTAGTGTCCTTGACCTGTGGACAGAAACAATAAGTACATTACTCTGTCCCACATACCAGCAAGAGATTTTCTATTGTTGTTTTTGTTTGTGGGTTTTGTTGTTGTTGTTTGTTTTTTTGGTTTTTTTTTTGAAACTATATCTCACTATGTAGCCATGGCTAACTTAGAACTTGCTATGTAGACCAGGCTAGCCTTGATCTGCCTGGCTTCAGCAAGGGACTTTCTAAGGAGCCTAGGCTTTGGGCTCCGTGTCTAGAACAGTGACTCTCAAACTCGGCCATGCCAAGAATGGTCTTGGGAGTTAGTGAGGGTGAAGCCCAGACCCATTCTAGACCAAGGAATGAGGGACCAGCATCCCCAGATCACGGCATGTCCCACTGAATAGAGGCTGGACTTGGTTGGTCCTACCTTGTGTCTTCCCTGACAGCAGTTGTTGACAGCCACCTGTGACTTCTGTTTTTTAGTCCCAGGTCCTCATACCTCTTTTCTGGCTGCTTTTCTCCAGGGCTTCCGAAACCTAGAAGATATCCGAAGCCTGGGCTCCCTGACCACTCAGCAGGCCATTGGCTTGAAGCACTACGATGACTTCCTGGACCGCATGCCCAGGGAGGAGGCTGCAGAGATCGAGCAGACGGTAGGTACAGCTCGAGCTGAGAGCTCCTGAAGTCCTAGCTGGGCAATCCTGCAGGCTGTGGACGTTAAGAGGTCAACACAGACGGCATATACCAGAGCCATAGGCCCAGAGAAGCCCAGGTGGGGTGGGTACTGCAGTGGCAGCCCTATGGCCTCAGGGTCAGAGAGCATGAGCACTGGGCACTGGTAGCCTAGAAAGGGGCAGGCACAGCCTCAAGGCCTGGGTATGTGGTTCAGAGGTTACTGAGCATGCCCAAAGCTCTGCTTCCATTCTCAGCATCACAGAAAGGGAAAACCAAACCAAACAAAACATCTAGTTGGACAAGAAATAAGGTTTAGCCAAGTTAAAGGTTCAGCTTAGAGCTAGAGGCTAAGTCTGTAAGTTCATGTGCAGTGTTGAGTCAAGAGAGACAGGGTATCCCAGATGTCTGTTGTTTGTTCAGCTGGCGTCAGGATCAGGCTGGTGTGTGGGCAAGGGTCTTGGTGAGTGGTAGATGAATCTGAGAGACCTAAATGAGGGAGAAGAAGCCTCCACCAGCTCCCACAGATGGAACTAAGGGACCAGTGCTGGATGGATAGACCCATCTATCCATCCAATCTGCGGTGCTAATGCTGACACTCAGCTACAGTGTCCAGGCACAGAATGCCCGGCCAGCTGCCAGCTCCTAGCCCATCGGAAGAGACCGGCATCCCCACTGCAGCTTGCCCACAAGTAGCCTCCTGCTGTAGGGATTCTTGGGGGATTGCTCATCTAGGCAGCCTCTTCCCATTCTCCTGGGAGACCCAAGAAGGGATGGAAGGGATTAGCGAACTACATGTCAGGGAATTGGGGTTCCTGGTTGTGAGCATCCAGGGCCCCTCAAACCTCAGTGTCCTCCAATGGGGGCAGAATACATCTACATACGAAAGGCCCCCACAGTGTCTGGTGGATGCTTACTATTCCTCATTCAGCTCTCAGATCCTTCCCTAACAGGCCAGCCGCACCCCTCCAGTTCTCCCCTTCCCACGGGTGCGGTGCAGTGGTATTTCGTGCTTCATTTTCTCCAGCCGGGTTGGAGGCTCTCTGGCAGCCACCTGCTCAGGCCTTAACTGAGCTCCCACACTGCCATCAGCTCCAGGTTCCTAGGCTGCTTGAGCTGCACAGGCATGGCCTCTGTTGTTGGTGGACTTTCACAGGCCTGGCCACTGTGGGTTGGGGCCAGAACCCATGGAGTGTCATTGCTCTTATATAGAGACCTTCTGCTGAGGCAGAACCAATGTCCTCGGGCCTCTCCAGGCTTGCCTCTCCAGTGTCCCAGTGCATCCCCTCAGCTTAGTATGAATCCTGGGATAGGGCTGGGGCAAAGGCCATATGCTGCCCTGGGAGAGGCCCTCAGCCTTTCGCTTCTCCCTGCTCTTCCCCAGGTCCGGATATCAGCCCAGGCCTTCAACCCTGGGCTGCTGTGTGTGGCCTGTGGCTCTTACCGCCGGGGGAAGATGACCTGTGGGGATGTGGATGTGCTTATTACTCACCCTGATGGCCGGTCCCACCAGGGCATCTTCAGCCGTCTCCTTGACAGCCTTCGGCAGCAAGGTATCCGCTCTGTCTTTGGGTGAGCAGCTAGAAGTGGGCAGCCACTTCCGAGTTGTCACCTCCAAGTCCTCAATTTGAAACATGCTGTGGGGGTAGGGCTTGGCAAGAATCCTACTCTGGGGCCAAAGACAATGAAACAGGTGGTGCCCAACATCCCTGCAGGTGGGGCTCTGTCTCACCTGGTGAAACTGTCCACTTTGCACAGATGAGGAACTGGGTCCAGAGGGGCGGGGTCACTCGACTCGACACACAAATAACCGCAGAGTATGCTGGGAGTAAAGAATCTTAGGCAGCCTGAGAGGGTAAGACAACCAGGCCTGGCTCCTTGCCCTACTAGACATCCCTTGTCAGGGTTCCTCACAGATGACTTGGTGAGCCAGGAGGAGAATGGCCAGCAGCAGAAGTACCTGGGTGTGTGCCGGCTCCCAGGGACAGGGCAGCGCCACCGGCGACTGGACATCATCGTGGTTCCCTACAGTGAGTTTGCCTGTGCCCTGCTCTACTTCACTGGCTCCGCCCACTTCAACCGGTCCATGAGAGCTCTGGCCAAGACCAAGGGCATGAGTCTGTCGGAGCATGCCCTTAGTGCAGCTGTGGTCCGGAACAGCCAAGGCGTCAAGGTGGGGCCTGGACAGGTGCTGCCCACCCCCACAGAGAAGGACGTCTTCAAGCTCTTAGGCCTGCCCTACCGAGAGCCCGCTGAACGGGACTGGTGACCTAGGATGTGGGCAAGGGAGGCCATGTTGGATGAGCTGCCTCATCCGCCGTCTACCACCCTCTTAGCTTTGTCAGTCACCGCCTGCCCTTAGTGAGCCTAGCCAGGAGCTTTGGGCCTGCAGGAAAAAGTCTGATTCAGAGAGCCTGCAAGCTCTCCCCTGGACAGGGTTATGTTGCTGTCCCCTCTCCTCCCCGCTATTCCTGGTGACAGGCTTTTACACGGCCCCTTCCCTGTTCAATCAGAGCAGGTGGCTGGTTTCAAGCCGGTTTCCTGTACTGAAGGCCCAAGCTTCCCTTTCCACCCCAAGACTGATGTAGATGTGGGGGGTCAGGAGAGGCTGAGGAGGAGAGGGAAGCAGCTGTGGGTTCAGCATCTTCCTAGAGCCCTTGCAGTAGAGAAAGACATGTGAATTCTTTTACCTACTCACTTCCTGTGCAGCTGGAGCTGCTGGGGGTGGCCTGCCCAGACTGTGAGGATGCTTCTCAGGGCCCTGGGGTCTAATAAAGTGCTTCTGACATTCAACTTGCCTGCTGTCTGTGAGCTGTTCCAACCCCACCTGTTGCCCTCCGTTCCAGCAGAACAAAGATGGGTGGGGCTCGTTGTCAGAAACCCACTAACTGCCTTCTAGCCAGGCCTGGGGTGCAGGGAAAGAGAGAGAATCGGAGTCCCACACAGAGGCCCCTCTCAGTCTTCCCTGTGGCCCTAAGACGGAACTATTGTGGGACTTCAGCAAAAGTGACAGAGTTTGTAGGAAACAGAGACACCACCGTGGATAGGAACAGGGAATGTGGGACTTTACCTGGAAGAGGAGGGGGCAGGATGGTAAGGAGATGGCCATCTAAGAGGGGTCAGGAGACTTTAGGACCAGTTATTAACCATTTGCAGGGAGGATGCTGGGGTTGGGGAGATCTGGCTCCACGATTTGATTGATGGCCCAATGTGAGTGAGTCCGCAGTGTACGGCATGCTTCTGAGTTGGGCAATGCAGAACAGGGAGAGCGGCAGAGGTGGGGATCTGTCTGGAAAGAGGTTAAAAAAATGATGGACCCAGTGTTGACATTTTGTTTAGGCTCCGCCCCACAGTTACCTGGCAACAGCCAGGTGTGCCTGACTCACTATAAAAGGGGCTGCTTGCCCCCTCCTCTCTCTTACTCTCTTTCTCTCTTGCTCCTGCTCCCCCTCCCCCATGTGCTCATGGCCAGCCTCTACTCCTCTATTCTCTCTCTGCCTTTCTCTGTCTCTACTACCCTCTCAGCTCCCCTCCCCATGCCCTGAATAAACTCTATTCTATACTATACCATTGCATGGCTGGTCGCTCAGGAGGAAGGGTTGCCTCAGCATGGGCCCACAGAGGCACCTTCTTCCCCCACACCTGACTGCACCCCCACCAAACACATTTCTTCTCTTTATTTTTATAAAATAAAAGAGTCAAAAGGCTCCCTGGAGAAACCCCAGGACCCCACTGGAAGATTGTGACATAGAACATGAGGCAAACTTAAGTTCAGACACTCTAACTTTAGTTAGTAGATTATGAAAGGAGTGTGTGTGTGTGTCTCTGTGTGTCTCTGTGTGTCTCTGTGTGTTTCTGTAGAATCCCAGAGTTGGCTTTTGCCTCCTTGATCTCAGTCCTGGCCTCTGTCTGGGCAGTGGTACACACCTATAATTGCAGATACTCAGAAAGCTGGAAAGTCATAAGTTGTGGGTCAGCCTGGGCTATGTAGGAAGTTCAAGGTATCTCAAAGGGAATAAAGCAGTTCTGGACACTAGCATCTCGAGATCAGACCTCCTCCAAAGCTGGGGGATGTCCCCTGCACGAGCCATGCTGGGGAAAGCTACTGCGTTCCTTACCAAACCGAGAAGTGACCACATCCAAGAACCCAAAGCTTCTGTGAGGTATCGATCTTTCTGCAGACTTTCTTTTCTGCATAGAGTGGCTTCTTTTTGTTTGCTTGGGTTTTGTTGTTGTTGTGTCTGTCAGTCTCTGTCTGTTTTTCAAGACAGGGTTTCCCTGTGTAGCCCTGGCTGTCCTGGAACTGGTTCTGTAGACTGGGCTGGCCTCAAAGATCCGTCTGTCTTTGTCTCCGGAGTGCTGGGATTAAAGGTGTTTGCCACCTCACTTTAGCTTCTGGTTCTTTTAAGCCTCCAAGTCTACAGTTTTCTCCTACAACAGTGGGGCACCAGTGCTGTACGCGTCTTGGTCTCTCTCTCTACATGGGTGAGTAAGCCCTGCCACAAGTCAGGAGACCTAGGTCTTGTCGCTGTGGGAAAGGGAGGCCCCAGCCCTCTTTTGGGCTGCTGTGGGCCTCTCTTCAGCTGCTCTTTGACCTGTGGCCTCGCTTCCCCCCTTCATGGCAGGGGAGGGACAGATTCCTGGTTTCTGAGAGGGAACTGGGAAGAAGCTCCAGCTCTAGACTGCAAACATTGAGTAGCTGCCTCAGCCTGGAGTTGGCTCCAGTGTGGTCCCGTGTCCATGCTGCCCTCCAGCCGGTTTCCCAGAATCCCTGAGTCACTGGGCAGTCCTGTTTTCAAGCTCTGGAACAGGGGAGCGCTCCTAGCTAAGGCCCTAAAAAAACAGTAGTCTGAGATTTTGGACCAGGTCTCATCTGCCTCATCCTTCAGTCTCAGCTATGCTCCTCATGGAAGAGCCTCCCTGAAGAAGGCCCTGGGCCCCAAGACAAGGAGATGCCCCAAGGGATGATGGGCTGCTGGGTGGACCCTGAGAAAGCCACCAGAAGATGAACTGAATTGATAAACTATCCCTTTTCCGGTGGCTGTGGAGTCTCTGTAGAACCTGCTAGACCCGGGCCTGGCCCTGACTGAATAAGCCTGTAGCCTCAGACAGTGCCCTTCCTTGCCTGCTCCAGGAGCCTCGGCCCGGCCATCACTGTTATGAGTGCAGGTTCCCTTGGTATGTGCTGGTGTTTGACTGACCATGTGGTCTCTCATTTGTGTGCCTACCACACATTTCTGGGCCTTGTGGCGTGTCATAAGTAGCCTCTGGGTATAGGCCCCATGTCACCAAGGGCTCGGGCAGGTGTGTGGGCTGGAAGGGGACCCTGGTGGTGCTGGTCAGGGACTAGGAAGGTAGGAGAGTCCTGGCTGGACTCAAGAGCTCTGGGGCCATGTGTCCATGGAGGAGGCCGCAGGGCGGACGGCTTGCGTCAGCCTTGAGCGGCCATCAATAGCGCGCGGTTAATTAATTTGATGGGAACAGCAGGGACCGCCGTTTGCATTTAGTGAAGTTCCAGGAACTTCCAACCCCATCTTCATAATTGGCCTCATAAATTGTAAGAAAGAGAGAGATCAGCAAAGCGGGAGGGAGGAGGGGCCGCCCGTCCGTCCTTATTTAATTTTATTGCTGAAATTCATCTTTTTAGCCTCCTCCGCCTGAATCGGCTCTCCCTGCCGGATTTGCCTAATCATGATAAATTAATATTCATTTCCCCACCTCTTACCCAGCTCCCGCGCTTGGATGGAGTTGGGAGGGTCTCCTTCCAGCCCCTCTGCCTTGGTGGGAGATGACCCCCAAAGTGGAGCTTGTGTGCTACACTGAAATTGGCCCTTGGGGAGAGCAGGAGGGAGCCTGGGAAAAAGATGGGGTTGTGTTCCTTGGGGGAGGGGGTGCTCCCAAGATTGATAGGAACTCACAGGCCTCAGGAAGCTGACATTAACTACAAGTGCCCAGCCAGAGCTGGGTTAGAAGGACAGGGAGGCTGCTGGAGACCTGGAGGTTGAGCCACACGGGCAGACAGGGTAAGCCTAGGAGGTGCCACTGGAACCTGGAGGGAGCTGAGAGGTGAGGCTGAAACACAGAATTGGTCACCCTGATCCTTGTCCAGTTAGCAGGGCTGAGCTGGGCTAAGCTGGGCTGAGCTG